GCTAGGACCAGGCATTTTTTTTTTTTTTTTGTATTGTGGCATGCTAATTAGCACTTTTGTGATGTAAATTGGTAGAAGCCAACATAATTATAACATATCACTAGACCTTGTTACTGGTGCCAAACCTCAGTTGCTGTCTATAACTAATTTTTTTTAAGTGGCTTAAATGGACTTTGGATCAAGCCCTATGATCCTGATTCCACAAAACCCTTAAGTTTGTACTTGTACAAGTTACAAGGAATCAGAGAGCAGCATCCAGCTATGTGCCTCCTCACTGCCCCTACGCAGAGCTTGGATACTCTGCAGAAGATCGGCCAGTATCTTTCATTGTTTTTGGATTTCATCACTTCTGCAATGAAGGATTAACCTGGCCAGAAATGTAGATGGTACCTAAAGTGTTAATGTTTCTCAACACTTAAAATAGTTTACAAAGTGCTAAAGTCTGATATATTTTCTTGAAATATATTTATTTGCAGGATCCAAAGCTGCGTGAACTCTTGGATGCAGGGAACCTAGGAGGTAGACTTGAGAATCGAATGATAACAGTCGTCTATGGTCCAGACCTGACCAACATATCGTACCTGAATTTAGTAGCTTTCCAAGAGGAAATAGCAAAGGTATTGTGCACTCAGTTTTATCATTTAAAAAATCTTTAAGTATGGGTTTAGGATGTGGCTGAAACTGAGCTAAGGAGACAACTACTAAATTGCATTTTCAAATAAAATTAGCCTGCTGTTATAGAAATATGACATACTATGTAACAGACAAAAATTGTAATAATTGTTTTCTGGGAGTATTCACAGGTAATTATAAGCTATCAGTGTTGTCATTGTGAAAATGTTTCTAGCTCTTCTCCCTGTATGGCCCAAATGCATGTTGTGAAAACACACACAAAGTAAAAAAAAAAAAGAGGTTGCAGCTTCAAAAGACACATTGTGAATCTCCAGTAACAAGTCAATATTTATCAACATTTAATACCTGTTCTAAGTATATGAGTATTCTGGTGTATCTACGATACTGCAGTATGGAGACTATTGACATTTTAATGTTGACCTATATCAAACTAAAGAAATGAGGTTTGTGTGTTTATTAATCTAACCATGCCTATCTATACACTGTTAGGCCAGCAACAAGACCCTTAACCTAACCTAACCTTTAATTATAATGTTCATGAATCAGTCTTGTATAGTGTCACACCTATCTCTTGTCCACTAATAGCAGTTAACTGCAACCTTTAAATAGAGGTCATTATCATACATCAACATTTTTATTTTCTGTATAGTTTAACTAAAGCCTATCAATCAGAGAGCAGCATCAAGCTATGTGACAACATTTTCTTCTCATTGCCATCCTGTTTGTTTCCTGCTCTACCCAAAGTTTAAACCAACTGCCTGGCAGTGGCAGCCGTATTCCAATTCAGGCATCAGTAAGACAGTCACTTGAATTCATGGCTCATTATAATCTACCTGATTTCTTCTTGACTCTTCAAGTAATTATAGATGTGCTCTGTGGGGGGCACTTTAATTAGCACAGCTCCAAGAGCTGCATTAATTAAAGTGCCCAGTGTCACGTGGATAAGCGTCCCTACGCTGAAAATGGCAGCAGGGCACTTTGAACTAAAGCTCGTCAAACCAGCTTTACTTTAAAGCACCCCACCACTATTTTTCAGCATGGGGATGCTGATACACGTGACACTGGAGTCTGCTGAAGCACAGATTAAGGAGTCTGCTCCAACATGCTGTAATTACAGTGCACTGGAGTAGCGTCCATGCACGTGTGTAGGAGCCCTATATTCCACAGGTGTTAACAACTCTTTCTCTCTCGTTTTTCAATGGTCTTAATGTTACATCAATCATGCCATCCTTTCTTCTCCAATTTTGTTGTCTGTTAGCTGCTCATCGTAATAGCTTCTATTTCACAGCCCTGCAGATTGTTTTTAATACTTAACTACAAACATTACCTCATAAGTGGAAACATAAACTCAGGTGAACATTAAGTCAGATGTGGAAATAACTTTCAATGAAACATTGGATTCACTGTCAAGATGCTCAAAAAGGCTAGGTTTTATTTTAGAAATTAGAAGATGTACATTTAATTCTCATAACTATAATGAAACAACATCTTTTGAATATTTTTGCCTAGTCTGTTGTGTTCTTAATATATAATGTATGAGCTAGCAAATTAATGAACATTCCAATGAAGTTATATTTGTTTTTGCTTTGTTCTTAAGCTGAATAATGTACTTTGGCATGTGGCACGCTAGTAAACTTTTAGTTTCTTTTTAACTGGAGAAAAATGGGTGCTGTGTTTAGATATGATGATGCACCATATCATCTGCACCCACCTTTTCAAAATCCTAATCTGCCTATGCCAGTACCAGCTGGTCCTTCATCCATTTCCTTTCTGAGAAAGTCACCCTTGGAGCCAGAAGTCCAGTATCTGTGGGGAACACCAACCAGACATTGAGAGGTATGAAGAGAAATCTCTTTATTCCTGCAAGGCTTATATCCTTCCTGCTGGGCCATGCTTCAGTTTTTGCCAGTCTAAATCTCTCTGGTTGGTTGGTTAGTTTGTCCTTTGAGCCCAACTAAAAATCTGTTTTGGTATCCCTTTTATACTTCTGCATATAACTTCCTGGAAAAGTAGAAGGATAAATAACACAAAGATGCAGTAGTTCATGGACTAGCACCCTGTCAAGAAAGTTAAAACATGCAGAGTAGTTATCCCAACTATACAGCTGGGCTGCTCAGAAATCCAACTCAGTGTTAGTCTCCATG